CCCCCCCCCCCCCAAAGAAAAAACTAAAGATAATTAAAACGGCAGCAACAACAAAACAACAAAAACAACAACAACAACAACATCAATATCAACGACAATAACAACAACAACGATAACAACAACAACATAAAATGAACCCCCCACCCCTCCCCCACTTAAATCGCCTCCCACTCATACTACCTTTCGAAACACTTTATTTATTTTTTATGCAGGATTATGTCGCACTTATAAGCTGCACTGAATAATCAGCCCACTTATCAATGGAATTTATTTTAAAAATGTTTTCTGTTCAACTTTTGTATTAAAGAAATTAATAAACGTGCTAATTTTGCAACAACGCGTTGCAATAATTTCAAGCTTCATTGATTTGTTTTATTTATTTATAGCAAAAAACTTGATAGTGCGTTAAATGCAGATGGCGGCTATGATTTCCACGAGACCATCAACGCATATTATGCGTATGGGGCACGAAAGAGGAAAGGCTGTCCATAATAAAAGGGTTTCTCAAACAAAATCACCAGTCATCAAACAAAGCAAGTTGTCAGAACAGTTGTGTGCGCTTATGAGACTGCAACACTGTTTATCTCCCAAGATATGTGATGGTGAAAGAGAATGTTCTGATAAATCCTCGGATTTGTTGTGAGGTCATGAAAAATTGGAGGGGGGAGGGGGGGAGGGGGGGAGGGGGGGAGGGGGGAGGGGGGAGGGGAGAGATGAGGAAGGGAGGGGGGGCGATGTAATTTCGTTTGTTTATTCGTTTCTCTTTTTTGGAGAGAGAGGGCCTGGTGGTGTGTGTGTGTGTGTGTGTGTGTGTGTGTGTGTGTGTGTGTGTGTGTGTGTGTGTGTGTGTGTGTGTGTGTAAGTGTGTGTGAGTATGGCAAACAGGTAAATAGATAGATAAATAGATAGATAGATAGATAGATAGATAGAGATAGGGAGATACAGAGAGATAGCGAGCGAGCGAGCGAGCGAGCGAGCGAGAGAGTGAGAGAGATAGAGATAGAGAGAGAGAGAGAGGGAGAGAGAGAGAGAGAGAGAGAGGGAGAGAGAGAGAGAGAGAGAGAGAGAGAGAGGGAGAGAGAGAGAGAGAGAGAGAGAGAGAGAGAGAGAGAGAGAGAGAGAGAGAGAGTTGGGGGGGGGGAGGATTGGTGGATGAGAGAAAAAAAACATTTCAGCAAACTAGATTTCAGGCAGCGTGGGCCCCGAGAACATTCTTCCCCCACCCTTCCCACTTTCTATCTCCCGATTTCCCCAGCCCAATGCCTTGCGTGATTTAAAAAAGCACAACCACTGTAACACTATCACTACCACAACTGCTAACTGCGAACGTTGAAATGAACATCAGTGACGTCAGTGATTAACAGTAAACTGCCCAATTAGTTTGTTCGTGAGCTCACAGTCAATATAAGTCTCAGTTTATAGCCTATCGTTTCGTAATAATCCCCAGAATTCCAAATTTTCACCTTCGTTCAGATAAAGAAGATCGACCGTCCAGTTCGCTTTCTGGGCATAATAGCATGGTATTTGAGAAAAAAGGTGATCTTTATACCACTTGTTGCAATAATAATTGTGCAAACAGTAGGTTCCAACGTTAGCACGGCGAGTGTTTTACACCCAATGTTAGTCTCCGAATCCTTCATATCATTATGATGAGTCCAGTGTTCTAATTAACTGAATCAAACACTTTGGAAAAGACGTAAAGGTGGGTAATTGTCGTGAAGCTTTTACCTACCCACGCCAGACTTAAAACAGGAATATCTCAAATAATTTTTTAAAAAGAATGATAATGATTATAAGAAGAAGAAGAAGAAGAAAAAGAAGAAGAAGAAGAAGAAGAAGAAGAAGAAGAAGAAGAAGAAGAAGAAGAAGAAGAAGAAGAAGAAGAAGAAGAAGAAGAAGAAGAAGAAGAAGGAGAAGGAGAAGAAGAAGAAGAAGAAGAAGAAGAAGAAGAAGAAGAAGAAGAAGAAGAAGAAAAAGAAGAATAAGTAACATTTGTATGCGCACATCCCCGCTCTATGCGCGTTACACACTATATTATTACCCCAGCAGACCGTAGTACACTCATAATATTATTCTCAGCTTCCTTGAAAGCACACAGTACAAGCAGCTGATTAAGAGTTTAAACACTAACACCCTGACCAGATCTTTCACTGTCTATAGCTAACTATCCATTCCCACCTTGATGAAGTGAGGAAAATTAGTATAAAGTGCCTTTCCCAAGGACAAAACGTCTGGCCCCTCATGGGATTCGAACACATGACCGTATGGTTGCGAGTGTGAGAGCCTAACCACTAAGCCACTCTCCGGTAAACACATTTAGATTTTGAAAGAAATCAGAAACGGGGTCAATGTTATACAGATTTATGATAGATAGATAGATAGATAGATAGATAGATAGATAGATAGATAGATTGATAGATAGATAGATAAAGCAAAAGTGACAACAAGAGGGGGCTAATAAAATAATAACGTAGAAAAAAAGTTTCAATGTTCGTGCATTCAAGTAAGAAAAACATAAGCCTGTTTTTCATTTCTTTCTAAATCAATGTGTTTTTAGGAAACGAGTCACTGGTAAATTAGAAATGAACAATTAGACCCCCCCAAAAAAAAAAACAAACAAACAAACAACCAAAAACAAAAAAACAAAAACAAAATGAAATAAGGCATGGACGGCTGGAAGGCAAATAACGGAAAAGACTAGGAAGATGATGAGGTGTGGAAATGAAAACAGAACTTTGGACGCATTTCTTTACTTACATTCCTTAATAGATACAATGTTTTAGCCCGTGCACTTTCTGTTCCAACTTGGCTTGCTCCCTCATACCCTTCCTCTTCTCGGATTCTGAAATGTGATCTAATAAAAAGAAAAGAGGAAAAAATATATTTCGCATTTTTCATCAATCTCTTCAGCTATGTGTTATTCCGGTCACATGATTATCTTTCCAAAAAGGGGACATTTTCATGACGTACAAGAAGAGGGGAAACACGCTGCTCAGAAACTCGTAACAGATTCCAACCACAAGGAAAATAGCAACTATTATAAGCAGTTCTTAGATTACCCGACAGTCTGAACCCTGATCCAACTAGATTTTGTGGGCGTGAATTATCTAAATCCATTGGAAATGATCTTGTTTGGAGATAATGAGGGGGGCTCTCGTGGCCTAGAGGTTAAGGTGTTGGTCTCTCATTCAAAGGTCTCGGGTTCGAATCCGGGTAGCGACCGAATAATTTTCTTCTCTAAAATTGTCTCCTGTAACCTCCATTCCTGCTCTCTCTAGCAATGTTCTCTTGTCTGCTTTCATTTCCACTTTCTGCCCCCACCCCTCACTTGCTTTGCCCCCGCCTCTGAGCTCCCGACTCTTTCTGCAGCCTTTCTACTGCTACTCCTTGGCTCCTCCTTACTGCTGTCTTTCTGCCACACCCTTGATCTTCTGGAAGGAAAGATCTACACCTAGCCTTCTCGAACAAGGGCGAAAAATCTCGGAGGGCCAGTGTGCAAGTTGCGCACGTTAAAGATCTCTTGCTGGTCTAAAATCGATAAGAGTAGGCTTCGGCCGCCACCCGGGCAAAATTCAAAATTACCTACCATTTGAAAATACAGTGGAAACCTGATATAACAGGGATTGTGGGAGAAGAGAAAAAGTTCTGTTATATCCGATCCCTGTTAAATCAGAAATGCAAGGAAAGTAAGCATTTGTGGACTAATCCAGCTGTATTTATTCATGGGTAGTTTTCCTTGCCACAAGTACCCAAGAACAGGGGTTTTGGCACCAAGTTTCTCCTTGCCTCCTTATACATGTACCACATCAGAAGAGCTTGGTCCACAGCATCGGGTAGTCTCATCATCTTTCGATCCAGAGCAAAGTTTCCATTGGAGTATGCTGCCACTATCTTCTCTCTATCCATGATAATGGTGTGAATCGACCCTTGTGGAATGTCGAACTGATGACAAATCTCTGCCAGTGGAGCTTGCTTTTAGTCAACAGCCTGGGTTATTTCGTATATTTTGTCAATTGAAAGGCATTTCTCTTGCGCATGACGTCGTTGGTGGCCATAATGAAAGAAGTAGGCTTAGATCTCTCTCTCTCTCTCTCTCTCTCTCTCTCTCTCTCTCTCTCTCTCTCTCTCCCTCCCTCTCTCTTACTCTTTACACATTGTTAACGAGCCTTTGTCCCTGTAATAACCGGTTGGGCTCCGATGAGGCCCTGTTATTGTCGATAACATTTAATAGAGACAAAGAGTAGGAAAAAACGGGGATTTAGAAAATCCCGGTTATTACCGGATCCCTGTTATTACCGGGCCTGTTATATATGGTTTCCACTGTATTAGGTGTGTCCCGCGCGCTCATATGACCTTATGCAGTTGCGAGCGCCGTAAAACACTTTACAAAAACAAAAACAAGAAAATGAGAAAAAGGCTACCTTGTCTGTTTCAATAGTAGTCTATATCAAAACCGTTTTTTGCTCATGAAACCCTTCAACATAATATTCTACAGCAATAGTGTGCTTGTGGTTTCCTTTCAACAGCTGATCACTGACGCTGGTTGAGTGCCATGAGCTGCCAACAATGTCTACTTCCGATATGACGCCAGATGAGGAAGAAAGAATTGAACTCCTCCACAATGAGATCCCCAAGCCGCAGGAGATGGCAAGTAGGGGGGTCCCTAAAGCGGCCAAGCGGTCTCCCTGGAGTGGCATGATGGCGCGGCAAGGACACAGTGGCTCGCACAGGATCAACAGGCTAAAACCAGGGAGCAGATTCGTGCTCACAAAAGATGGGCTGTAAGTATGTCAATGCAGCTCACCTGCGAAAGAATCTAAATCTAGTTGATGGGGATGTAAAACATGAATTACTGTTAAAAGCAATCATTTGCATGTTCTGGGGTATTTTCATAAAGATTGGACTGAGAGTGGCGGAAGCTGAAGAATCACAAATGTTAGAGAATGTGAACAAATCGAAAGGTCAAACCACTCCCTAACCCTCCTCCCACCTCTTGTTTGACGGTTTCGGACTATCTCAGAGATTCCTTTTGAAGTATTATGACCCTGTCCTGTGCTGTATACTTGTGTACTTCTTTCTGCTATTTTCTGATAAAAGTGAATAGACCGTCCGTACTCAAAATAGAAAACAAAAGAAAAAACACTGAAAAGATATCAGTAAACACTTCCAGCAGCATCGTTGTGTGTGTTGTTTAAAATGAGGCATACACAAGTGAAGCGACGTTGTGTGGTATGATTTATTGAGGGTTTTTAAGCAGCTGTGCTATACAATTTTCAGGCTATAAGCTACAGTTGCTCTGTATTTGCCCGTTAGGACATTGGGGAGAACCATGCTTTGCGAGAGAATGTAAGTTGACAGAACATTATGATGATTATGATTTTCAGTCACTTTACATGCCTTTAAAGAAATTCTGCCGTCGTAAGGGAAAACGACGAATGGTCAAAATTTTTCGATTTTGTTATTTTTATATATTTCATAGAGTATTTAATTCTGCATCTGATGGTGTAAAAAATTTTTCATATCCTAATCCGTTGTTGCGTAATTGAGAGTTCGTCGTTTTCCCTTACACTGGCGAGCTCCGAGCCAGAGCTCAGTGTAGGCTAAGGCAGAACGACGAATGGTCAATCGGTCAAGGATCACTGCTCGTTCGGCATTGTCCCCTGGTCTCTGCCGTTGGGCAAATTCGGCATGGGCGACGAATGACAATTGGTCACTGTTGCGTCAGTACCAACATACTATGTTTTTTTTGCAAACAAATACACCACCACCCCCTCCCCCGAGTCGAATCGACCAGGGTTATAAGAATGTATCACTTAGTGTGTCTGTCTTCACGTATTAGGCCTTGCTGATGGTGTGAAATGACAAGAGAAGGTGGGAGAGAGGGGAAAACGGATGGGAACAGGGGGAAAGGGGTGGGGATGGGAGGGTCAAAAAAGTATTTAGGGAGAAATTTATTAGCACTGCATATTAGTGTCTGCCAGATGTTCACAGACTAACGTCATGTTTGTTTGCTGCCCAGTCATTTGACATCCCAAATCCCAACGATGATTATAGTGCGGCAATTTGTCTAGCACGTGTCACTGGTCGACATCATTATAGAATTACCAAGCAATTAATGACACTTTATTATGAGAGTAAATTTCTTTGTCGAACTTAAAAAGTGGACGTATTGTGGCGACACTTAGTCTTGCTTTACGATTTTTTATGACTTGATGAACGTTACGATCGAGTATAATGTCTTGCAGATTCAAACTGTCCTTGTCGATCTCTACTTTGTGGTATGTTTTCCGATCCGATCAACTGAATCCTTTATTAAATACAAAGCGTCGCATTACCTGTCCTGAAAGCTCTTGTTAGATTGTTACATTTCTTACGTGAAAGTTTGACTTTGCAATGATCTGATCGTATTATTGACATTGTAACATTGTTGATCCCTTTGGTCGTGCAGGGAAAATTTTGCAATGAGCGAAAATAAAAGTAAAACTCGCTTCTGAAGAGAATGCAATAGAGAGATATTATGGAGACCAAACATTGGTTCTGAATGGGACAGTTTTAAATCAAGCTGTTGAAAATGTGAGCACATCTGGTTTGTACACTGACTGTGTAGTATTTAACCAAACGAGGAAGGGAAATGAATGACGTTTACCGAGTTACAGTTGGAATATAACAAACACCTAATTTTAGACGTATAATAGCTAGTTTGTATACGTCTTATTTTTATTTGTAGTAACGAGTACACAGTCATGAGTCATAGCTGTCAATAATGCGTCACAACTGACCATCGCCAACGCCCATAAACGTTCACGAGTGTAAAGGAGAACGACGAACCGTACCGTACCATTCGTCGTTTTCGCTTACATCGCAAGGCTCACCTGCGGGTACGCAATGTAAGGGAGAACGACGAATTGCTACTTTTTAACCTAAACAATTCAAACTTTAGAAACTGTTTATGAGCACCTCAATCAGATATCTGGTGAATTACAGCTTAAAAGAGTGAAAAATAGAAAAGTTATAAAGTGAAAACTGTTTTTGCCTCTCCTGAAAAATTTGCCTCGCTACCAGCGCAGGACCATTCGTCGTTTTCCCTTACGACGGCAGAAATATATCGCAGGTGTTCTTTACTTTACTGCCTTGTATACTGGTTCAAAACATGAAACTAACTTCTGCTCTAGAGAAATCAAGCTAATTGTCCTATTCTCCAAGGTACAGTTTCATGATGTTATTAGTATCATAATCATGAGCATGTATCCTCGTTTCTTTTCAAATCAGTCTCTATAAACATCAACAATGAGAGATGAAATCAAATGAAGAAGAAAATAACCTCAACAAAAAAGCCCACAAAAACTGCTTATCATTCCCAAAATTAACTCCAACAAAACCTTAAATGGAAAAAGAGAAGCAAGAACCAGTATGACATCTTTAAGTCTGTGTTCTGCTATACGAAGTAGTTTGGGTGTACTCTTATTCATCACTTAACTGTAGTATGATCCCCCTCCATCCAGCGGAACCCTTGCAAATGCCCAAACCCCCCTGAACGGTTTCTTTCTCAAGAAAAGTACATTATAATGTATTATCAACTCAGCAAAATTGTGAAGCAGATAACGTATAGAGTATAGATATTGTGCTTTGGGGCAAAACGAAAATGGAGAGGAGAACGGAACAAAACAAAATATTGAAAGTATTTTGTGTCAGTCAACTTGGCCTCGGTGAAAACGTAATAAGCTACCCATTCTTATATGCTTTTATGTTGAAAGTAGATCAATCTTTGTTGGGGAAGAAAACTGTTTAATATACAGGGCAGGTGTCAATCTGATCTCGCATTTATACACCAACTTCTGACGTATAATGGAAATCGATGGCTTTATAGTGCGGTCAAAATTTCGTGGCGCAACAACTTATCCTCAAATATCTCGTTGACGGGTAAATCAATGTCGCCTACACTTTGCACAGCACTTTGTATCAATTTGTCTTAACTGAATCATATTTCCCCCAACAATTGAGGTTAGATTAAATAACTTTTCTTCAGAAATTTATATAAAATACTATAAATCTCCGTCACGCAGAAAATTGGATTGCTCACAGCACTTTCGGCTTCTCACACACATTTTGCATACTCATATAGGCTTATCCTACGTCACAGCTCACCAATGGCACTTTCTGGTAGTAAAACTTGTAACAAGAAATTGACCTTACAGGGAACACTTTTTTTTTAAACTTAAAGTTCTCAAAACAAGCGTTCAATAAGACAAAAATGACGGACTTGTTTTTATAAAAGACATTGCCCCAGCTGAAAACCTTTAAAAATCTGTAGAAACCACCTACTTTGGTTTTTTTAATGAATATTTATTAAGGAATTTTCAAGAATACAGCTTCCAGGTATTTACAAAAATGTTGATCTGTTAAGACAAATTGTGCAAAAATTGGAGAACGGATGTTTGATCATTAAGGAGACATTTGACAATAAAATACGCCACGAACTGTTTCATTGCACTATAATAACCTCTATGTCTATCTTTCAGTGTCCCCTCCCCCCCCTCCTTCCTGTCAATGCTCCCCACCCCCCCACCCCAACAGTTATCTTGATTCAGAATATGTCAATAATCCCCCTTCTTTCCCTCTTTTTAATTTCTCTCTCTCT